TGCTGCTAGTTTGAGAGCTGGTTTCCATGGCTGTTGTTCAGGTGCTGCTAGTTTGAGAAGCTGGTTTCCGTGGCTGTTGTTCAGGTGCTGCTAGTTTGAGAGCTGGTTTCCATGGCTGTTGTTCAGGTGCTGCTAGTTTGAGCTGGTTTCCGTGGCTGTTGTTCAGGTGCTGCTAGTTTGAAAGCTGGTTTCCGTGGCTGTTGTTCAGGTGCTGCTAGTTTGAGAGCTGGTTTCCGTGGCTGTTGTTCAGGTGCTGCTAGTTTGAGAGCTGGTTTCCGTGGCTGTTGTTTGCTGCTAGTTTGAGCTGGTTTCCGTGGTGCTGCTAGTTTGAGAGCTGGTTTCCGTGGCTGTTGTTCAGGTGCTGCTAGTTTGAGAGCTGGTTTCCGTGGCTGTTGTTCAGGTGCTGCTAGTTTGAGAGCTGGTTTCCGTGGCTGTTGTTCAGGTGCTGCTAGTTTGAAAGCTGGTTTCCGTGGCTGTTGTTCAGGTGCTGCTAGTTTGAGAGCTGGTTTCCGTGGCTGTTGTTCAGGTGCTGCTAGTTTGAAGAGCTGGTTTCCGTGGCTGTTGTTCAGGTGCTGCTAGTTTGAGAGCTGGTTTCCGTGGCTGTTGTTCAGGTGCTGCTAGTTTGAGAGCTGGTTTCCGTGGCTGCTGTTCAGGTGCTGCTAGTTTGAGAGCTGGTTTCCGTGGCTGTTGTTCAGGTGCTGCTAGTTTAGTTTGAGAGCTGGTTTCTCGTGGCTGCTGTTCAGGTGCTGCTAGTTTGAGAGCTGGTTTCCATGGCTGTTGTTCAGGTGCTGCTAGTTTGAGAGCTGGTTTCCGTGGCTGTTGTTCAGGTGCTGCTAGTTTGAGAGCTGGTTTCCGTGGCTGTTGTTCAGGTGCTGCTAGTTTGAGAGCTGGTTTCCGTGGCTGTTGTTCAGGTGCTGCTAGTTTGAGAGCTGGTTTCCGTGGCTGTTGTTCAGGTGCTGCTAGTTTGAGAGCTGGTTTCCATGGCTGTTGTTCAGGTGCTGCTAGTTTGAGAGCTGGTTTCCATGGCTGTTGTTCAGGTGCTGCTAGTTTGAGAGCTGGTTTCCATGGCTGTTGTTCAGGTGCTGCTAGTTTGAGAGCTGGTTTCCGTGGCTGTTGTTCAGGTGCTGCTAGTTTGAGAGCTGGTTTCCGTGGCTGTTGTTCAGGTGCTGCTAGTTTGAGAGCTGGTTTCCGTGGCTGTTGTTCAGGTGCTGCTAGTTTGAAAGCTGGTTTCCGTGGCTGTTGTTCAGGTGCTGCTAGTTTGAGAGCTGGTTTCCGTGGCTGTTGTTCAGGTGCTGCTAGTTTGAAAGCTGGTTTCCGTGGCTGTTGTTCAGGTGCTGCTAGTTTGAGAGCTGGTTTCCATGGCTGTTGTTCAGGTGCTGCTAGTTTGAGAGCTGGTTTCCATGGCTGTTGTTCAGGTGCTGCTAGTTTGAGAGCTGGTTTCCGTGGCTGTTGTTCAGGTGCTGCTAGTTTGAGAGCTGGTTTGAGAACTGGTTTCCGTGGCTGTTGTTCAGGTGCTGCTAGTTTGAGAGCTGGTTTCCGTGGCTGTTGTTCAGGTGCTGCTAGTTTGAGAGCTGGTTTCCGTGGCTGTTGTTCAGGTGCTGCTAGTTTGAGAGCTGGTTTCCATGGCTGTTGTTCAGGTGCTGCTAGTTTGAGAGCTGGTTTCCATGGCTGTTGTTCAGGTGCTGCTAGTTTGAGAGCTGGTTTCCGTGGCTGTTGTTCAGGTGCTGCTAGTTTGAGAGCTGGTTTCCATGGCTGTTGTTCAGGTGCTGCTAGTTTGAGAGCTGGTTTCCGTGGCTGTTGTTCAGGTGCTGCTAGTTTGAGAGCTGGTTTCCATGGCTGTTGTTCAGGTGCTGCTAGTTTGAGAGCTGGTTTCCGTGGCTGTTGTTCAGGTGCTGCTAGTTTGAGAGCTGGTTTCCATGGCTGTTGTTCAGGTGCTGCTAGTTTGAGAGCTGGTTTCCATGGCTGTTGTTCAGGTGCTGCTAGTTTGAGAGCTGGTTTCCATGGCTGTTGTTCAGGTGCTGCTAGTTTGAGAGCTGGTTTCCATGGCTGTTGTTCAGGTGCTGCTAGTTTGAGAGCTGGTTTCCGTGGCTGTTGTTCAGGTGCTGCTAGTTTGAGAGCTGGTTTCCATGGCTGTTGTTCAGGTGCTGCTAGTTTGAGAGCTGGTTTCCATGGCTGTTGTTCAGGTGCTGCTAGTTTGAGAGCTGGTTTCCGTGGCTGTTGTTCAGGTGCTGCTAGTTTGAGAGCTGGTTTCCATGGCTGTTGTTCAGGTGCTGCTAGTTTCAGAGCTGGTTTCCGTGGCTGTTGTTCAGGTGCTGCTAGTTTGAAAGGTGGTTTCCATGGCTGTTGTTCAGGTGCTGCTAGTTTGAGAGCTGGTTTCCATGGCTGTTGTTCAGCTGCTGAAAGGTGGGAAGTGGATGTGCAGTGATCTGAACAAAACGAGAATTTCAAATGGCATAATGAATCAATGACCTTCCTCCTCATGACAAACTTCAAGATTTACAAATATCCTTAGTGCAAATATTGTTTTTCACTCATTTGGACTAAAGATAACCCATTCAATATCTGTAAACTTTTGCCCCAATGATGGTGGAACTTGAAGTGGAACTGAGGAAGAATGTGTGGTGCTGTGGTAGGCCATGTTTTGTATACATTAGGGAAAGGTTTTGAAGGATATTTCCCCGTTATGGGAAACTTAAACATAGATGCTATTGGTTCTAATATTTGTTCTTGCCTGTAGAATTCACTAGTTACTATGTTTTCACTATGGTTTCCTGAAATTCTATTGGGCAAGAGTAACTGTTGGGGCACCAGTTTCTGTGTGTGTGCTTGTTTAATGAGTGTAATAAATGAGCATGGAAGGAAAAGGCATGCTGTGAAGTCAACAGTGTCCTTCTGTGATTCAGTACATGTTTGAAATGTCAGGAATATTACCAACACCAATATGGCCTTTCCTGGTGGCTAACCTTTGTGTTTGTGAAGACAACCATGGTGAAGTGGCGAGCAGCAGGCGGAGGTGTCTGTCATCCAGCAGATATGTGAGCACAACACCAAAACATCACGCTGTTAGAAAGCAGAAAAATGTCAGATGTTAATGGGCTTTTCTGGGCCTGCTGGAATTGATCTGTTTGTCATTCTTTGAGTTGGTTTAGTCCGCACATTGTGGGGGTGTTTTCGCTATATGGAGTAATTGAACATTTCTGCATCATTGATTTCATGACTACACAGTGCTGTGTGGCTAGGATGATATGGGTGTACAGGAAGTGCTGTATATGTTAGAGGAGGGGGTTTAATCTGCACACATCGGATTCACCTTGGTTCATGCATTCTTGATTGGCCTGTTTGATATTGTCAATCAAATACTAATGCAGTGGGTGGTTGTAATACAGGCTGTATTTAGCCTGACATAACAGGGGCAAGCATGACTGATGGTCTTTCTAATACATGGTCTATCTAGCCTGACATAACAGGGGCAAGCATGACTGATGGTCTTTCTAATACATGCTCTATCTAGCCTGACATAACAGGGGCAAGCATGACTGATGGTCTTTCTAATACATGCTCTATCTAGCCTGACATAACAGGGGCAAGCATGACTGATGGTCTTTCTAATACATGCTCTATCTAGCCTGACATAACAGGGGCAAGCATGACTGATGATCTTTCTAATACACTGATGATCTTTCTAATACTCTATCTAGCCTGACATAACAGGGGCAAGCATGACTGATGATCTTTCTAATACATGCTCTATCTAGCCTGACATAACAGGGGCAAGCATGACTGATGGTCTTTCTAATACATGCTCTATCTAGCCTGACATAACAGGGGCAAGCATGACTGATGATCTTTCTAATACATGCTCTATCTAGCCTGACATAACAGGGGCAAGCATGACTGATGGTCTTTCTAATACATGCTCTATCTAGCCTGACATAACAGGGTCAAGCATGACTGATGATCTTTCTAATACATGCTCTATCTAGCCTGACATAACAGGGGCAAGCATGACTGATGGTCTTTCTAATACATGCTCTATCTAGCCTAGCCTGACATAACAGGGCAAGCATGACTGATGATGCTCTATCTTTCTAATACATGCTCTATCTAGCCTGACATAACAGGGGCAAGCATGACTGATGGTCTTTCTAATACATGCTCTATCTAGCCTGACATAACAGGGGCAAGCATGACTGATGGTCTTTCTAATACATGCTCTATCTAGCCTGACATAACAGGGGCAAGCATGACTGATGGTCTTTCTAATACATGCTCTATCTAGCCTGACATAACAGGGGCAAGCATGACTGATGGTCTTTCTAATACATGCTCTATCTAGCCTGACATAACAGGGGCAAGCATGACTGTGGCCTCACTGTTATGTGCATTATTTATGAAAGCAATGAGTTTGGTTGTACTGATCAGCTTCAGTGGTGGCTGTTTAAGTGCAATTATGTAAGACAGTTCATGTATTTTCTCACTTGTAAAAATTTTGGAGGGGCGTTTCCGAATGGGTTCTGTCTGTCCATCTGTCCATCTTGCATCCATTCGTGCATCCATCCATCATGCTTCATTTTCAGTGATAACTCTGAAATCGTTTCAGGTTTTATTATGGAACTTTACATATGTATCAAACCATGCTAACTTGTAATTTTGATATGTTGGTATTTTCCAGAAATGATATTTTGTTTCAGTGTGATTTGCTAATTCCATAATGGATGTACTTGGGACAGATTTTTACGAAAACCACCGAAGTTACATGAAGTTACTAATCATGCTTTTCTTAGAGATAATTGTCAAAATAGAGTTTAAAACTGATTATTTTTTCTAAAGTTACCTTTACAGGTGCATGTACTTGTGGGCAAATGTATGTGTGAATTTGTTGGGAAGAGTGTGCTTGTAAGCACCAGACATTTACACTCAGGTTTCTGTTTGACATTCAGGGAGCTTGTTTTATACTTGCTAGATTGTCCAACAACTCACCCAGCATGTCTTTGTTGCAGCTAGAGAAGCTGAAGACCGAGGAATCTCTTCTGGAAGAACTCAAGAGCCTCTCAGTCAGATGACCTTCCGTCTAGGTCAAGGTTAGGAACATCAGAGTACTACCATGATAGACGAGGCTCATTCTGGAAAGCCTATTGTTTTTGCTGTTTGTTGCCTTGATCTTTCATGTGTGTATGTTTCAATGTTTGTTTACCTGAAGATTGAGTAGGAACTGCTCTGATATTCAGCTGGAGGACAAAAAGTAAATTAATATAAATTCATGCAAGGAGGCAGTTTGATTAAAAGAATTAAGACAGTTCAGTTGCTAGCATGAGGTACTTGCTGGCTCATCACATGCCTGTGTGAGCAGCATGGGTCCAGCCATACTTGGCTGACTCTAGCAGTTCTTGGTTATCAATATGAGACGATCATATTTTAAGAAAAATAAAAGTAGCAATAAAAACTTCATTTCTTTTGTAGTTATTGTGTGCTATTTATGAACAGACATATTTTGCCAAGGTGAAAAAAATAAACACAAAAAATGCTGTTAGATTAAAAATATGTGTTTTATGGCTTTTGGTTTATATTTTTGTTTCTCATTATTTGAAGAATATTTGTCGTGTTGTAAACTCAAATCTACCTGACCAGATTTGTTCGTTTTAGTTTCTTTCTGCCTCTTGTTGTTTTGATCCATCTGTCAGACATGGCGTTATGTTTGTTTAGCTAAAATCATATGTACACTAATACCACCAGATAAGAACTATACAGCAGCAGCGACTGTTACTGCACAGTTTATCAGAGTTTGTTAATGTGATTTGTTTCAGCTGTTTATGGGAGGAAGAGCAGACATTTCTGTTTTGTCATATTCTGTACCATAATGTACATAAACCAGTTGAGATAAACAGTGGATTTTGTTGCTTGTTAATATACTTAACAGGAAAGGAAGACTAGAATGTATACAGTTGGAGTCGGTTATGTCAAGACTGCTGCCTATTCAAGGTTAGGGACCAACAATTTGATGATATTCATGGACGGTGTGTGTGTTTTTGTGTGGAAACTAGATACTGTTTTCAGTTACAGCTGGAAAACTAAATAGAATATACATTGAAACTGTGCTCTTAGATATGTTGTTTATAAAAACAATTTGCAGCAATAGTTTTTATGTGGCAGACAGTTTCCTTTTTTGTTCTGTCTGAAGCTAATCTTTTTGAAATATTTTCTGGATAGGTTAGTTTTGACATTAAAATCCTGGGCCATCCCCCACTATATCAAATGTTTGTCCCATTATGAGATATGGAGAAGTAATGTGTTTTTAGAAGGGACTTGAAAGAGTTCAGTGATTCAGCACATTTGATGTCAGCTGGCAGTGAATTCCAAAGCAACTGAAGTGTAGGCAAAGGTCCTCTGACCATAGGAGACAAGTCTGACTTCAGGGACTGTAAGTAAGTGCTGATTCTGGGATCTTAGACATCCTGCAGGGGTGTACAGTGTGAGAAGTTCAGATAGATACTCTGGAGCTTGACTGTGGAGATGTTTATATACAAGGCACAGGATTTTGAAGTTCACATGGTACGTAACAGGGAGCCAATGTAGGAAAGTGAGAGATGGAGTGATGTGATCTCGCTTAGATTTCAGACTTACAATACGAGCAGCAGTGTTTTGAATTGTTTGGAGTTTCTGTACTTGCAGGGGAAAAGCACTATCAGCAGAAACGAATTGGTAACGATTTGGTGACATCTCAAAATTAGTTGACATTGTGTGTGGAACACATGTTGACACGGTGATGTTTACGCTGAGCCCTGCAACATTAACACGGCAATGTGCTGACTTTTAGACGGTCTTGTTAACATCTTTCTCATACTGACGGTCTAGTAGTTAATAGGCTTTGCTGCAATGAACATTGTGTTGATTGCTTGTCTATCAGACTCAGCTGCAGTTAAAACAGGACAACACAAGGTTTAAGAACAACATCTATGCCATGGCTCTTATTGAACATGTTTGGGACAAATTGGACATCAGATGCAGTGGGTAGACAACCAAACACACTTACACAATTGGGTCATAAATTAGTGTTTGAGTGGAGCCACTTGCCTCAGGCATTCTTTCAGACTCTTGACAAGGTGGTGTACCATCAGTGTGCTATCCCAAGGCGACCATACTTACTTAGGAGATAAACATATCATGTGTTGGCCGATTTCCGGGTGTTATTGAGTATTTGAAGCAGGGGAATTCATTTGGAACCGACGGCGATGTTTGTATGTATTAATACTCAGCGAATTTCCAGGAATCGAATACCATTTGATCACGTTTTTCAACCAATCAGATTAAAGAACACAGTGACTTTCAGTTTACAATACTGAATACACTGTTATTTTTGCCTACTGAGGGTATATCTCTTTTATATTCGGTGTTCCTCAGTGAACTACAGTAATGCTTCTGTAGCAACCACATTCAGTTCTTAAACCGACAGTTTTCTCCATAAATTTGCTTTTCAAAGTTTAACCATTGTTTTGTGTTTTTGTTTAGTGTTTCTAATGCTGTTCGTTGTGTGTTCTGCTTCAGAACTAGATGCTTTTAAGATGCAAATAAAGAGAACTTGAAATCAGAGTGAGTGAATGATGCCACAGCCATCAATATTGCAGCTACACCAAGTAGCATGTACATATTCCAGTTCGAGACTGTAATCAGGAGCAAAGGCACCACAAGTCACCCAAGCCACCACACCTCATCCACACCATCAGGGCATCAAGCCCCCATCACCTCATCCACACCATCAGGGCACTGAGCCCCCACCACCTCAGCCACACATCAAGGCACCAAGTCACCACACCTCATCCACACATCAAGGCACCAAGTCACCACACCTCATCCACACCATCAGGGCACCAAGTCACCACCACATCATCCACATCATCTCAGCCACACATTCATCCACACCATCAAGCATCAAGCCACCACCTCAGCCACACCTCATCCACACCATCAGGGCATCAAGCCACCACACCTCAGCCACACATCAGGGCATCAAGCCACCATCACCTCATCCACACCATAATAATAATAATAATAGTGGATATTTGTAAAGCTCCAGTGTCCACCCACTCATGCATGCTCATGGCGCATTAAAACTATTTACAGAAGAAGGGAAAATGTCAATTATAGGCTTTAGTAAAAAGGAATGTCTTTAGGGCCTTCTTAAAAGAGTCTAGGGTCGGGGCGAGTTTGATTTGGAGCGGTAGAGAGTTCCATAAGAGAGGCGCGACATGCTGAACACTCCTCTTTCCAAAAGAGGTGAGCAGAGCTTGAGGTACTTTGAGGAGCTGTTATCCTGGGAACGTAGAGTTCTGGAAGGCACATACTGGGTTAGGAGAGATGAGAGATATGTAGGGGCAAGGTTGTTGAGACACTTAGAGACTGTACACAGAACTTTGAAGTCAACTCGGTATTGAACAGGAAGCCAGTGCAAAGACTTTATCACATGGGTTATATGATCATATTTAGAACTCAATGATATAATTCTAGCGGCTGTATTCTGCACTTTCTGGAGTTTTATCATGTGTTCTTTGGATATTCCAGTGAGAAGGCTATTGCAGTATTCTAGGCGGGAAGACACAAGACATCTGACCAGGATATGTGCACTCTCTTTAGTGATGTATTTTCGGATGGTACCAATGGAACGAATGTGAAAGTAGCATGTCTTACACAGATGATCCACTTGTGGAGACATGGAAAGGTCTGACTGTAGCTGTACTCCAAGATCTTTAACTTGTCGTGATGGGGAGATACAGGCAGAAGCAATCAACACTCGCTCAACATCTACCTTGTCGATGTGCTGTTGTCTTCCGACCAATAATACCTCTGTTTTGTCGTCATTTAACTTTAGTTTTCTATTGAGATCTAAAAGAGTCAATGTTGCTATGTCACCAGAATCCACTAGACACCTGAGATCATTAACAATTCTCAGGAGCAAGGTCTCTGTTGAATGATGCGGGCGATAAGCAGACTGATAGTCATCAAGGATGTCATGGAGGTTGATATGCTTCATCAGTTGTCTGGTAACAGCTTTCTCCACAAGTTTTGAAAGAAAAGTCAAGTTTGAAACGGGCCGATAGTTCTTGAGTATGTTGGTATCAAGTTTGAAATTCTTTAACAGTGGAGTAACAATAGCATCCTTCAAACATGTAGGGAAAACACCGGATGAAAGACTTTTATTAATAATGTCGGTTATAACTGGAAGTAAATGATTGAGATGATCAACCACAAGATTGCTTGGCATTGGATCATTCAGACAAGTGGTTTTGTTGGATGATTTGATGACTTGTGGAGTACAAAGTGCGAGCTTCCTCAGAGGAACGCCATCAAACAAGGTTTCCTCGAACACCATGTCTGGCTGTTGATACTCCCTGAGAAGTTTCTTGATATCCAGAATTTTATTCTCAAAGAATGAATTGAAATCTGTGGCAAGTTGTGTAATATTATCACATTAAGGAAGAACACCTGCCTTCGTCTTGCCCATAATTGATTTCATGAAATTGTGGAGATCTCTAGGCTTTCATTTGCTGTTTACAGTACAAACGCTTCTGCTCTCGGACGATCTTGCAAAAAGCATTTCTTTGATATTTATACATTTGACGATGTATCTCAAGTTGAGATTTTCGCCACCTACGTTCTGCTTTACGTTTTTTACGTTTAGCTTCATGAACAAGTTCATTGTACCAGGGACATCCTGTACGCTGTACAAAAGTACGTTCCTTCTGAGGTGCATGACAGTCCAGCAATTGGCGAAGTGAGTTGTTATACGATGCAGTCTGTCCATCACAGTCTGGTACAGGATTTGTGACAAGATCCGATGTTACCAAATCTTGACTGAATTTCACATTGTCAATTCCTTTAAGATTACGACATGTTTTTATCCCCCGCCGCGCGTTTAGCGATAGTAGTATTAGGCTCCGTCCGTCCGTCCGTACATACGAATTGGAATATCTTAAGTACCGTTGATTAGATTCTTTTCATATTTGGTACCTAGGTTCATCACACTATAAGAAAGGTCCAAGTCAGGTTTGGTGACCTTGACCTTCATTTCAAGGTCACAAGGGGACTTTAACGTTTTACCTGTATGTTAAGCTATCTCAAGAACCGTTCACTTTTTTTTTCATATTCAATACCAAGCTTTATCTAGGGAAGGCACAGGGCCCGGTCGATTTTGGTGACCTTCACATAATTTTCAAGGTCATGGCGACACTTTGAAGATTTCAGCATGTTAACCTGCATGTTAAGCTATCTCAAGATCCATTTCCTGGATTTTCTTCATATTTGACACCAAGCTTTATCCAGGGAAGGCGCAGGGCCCAGTCAATTTTGGTGACCTTCACTTAATTTTCAAGGTCACAGAGACACTTTGAAGATTTCAGCATATTAACCTACATGTTATGATTGTCAGCGAGATACCTCAAGAACTATTCACTGGAGTTTTTTCATATTTGACACCAAGTTTCATCCAGGGAAGGCGCAGGACCCAGTCGATTTTGGCGACTTTTACTTAATTTTCAAGGTCACAGAGACACTTTGAAGATTTCAGCATGTTAAATTGCTTGTTAAGATAGTCAGCAAGATATCGCAAAAAATATTCAGTGGATTTTCTTCATATTTGACACCAAGCTTGCATATAGGGAAGGCCCATGGCCCAGTCAATTTTGGTGACCTTCACATAATTTTTAATAAGGGTCACGACGACACTATGAAGATTTCAGAATGTTAACCTGAATTGTCAGAAAGATATTTTAAGATCGGTTCACTTTATTTTCTTCATAGACTTTCAAGACCTCCCTTGAATGTTTTTCAATAAGCAATTTCTTTAGTACTATTTTTGCATATTTCATACACTATGACATGAGGTCAAAGT